GTATGCTCTACCTTATACGAAACCTTTACTTAAATAAAATAAAAACTTAAAAAGAGCAAGTATATTCACCATATAATAATCCTAGAATCAAAACCTAGAAGGAAACTCTTTTCTCAGGAAACGTGCAATCCTATATATACACGGGATAAATCTACCTTCTATTTTTAGACTCATATTATAAATCTGTTTACTTAATAAAAGCCTTATTTCGTTTCTATATTTATTAAGAGTCCCAACGATGTGAATGGTAAGAATCTACCTTCTGTTTTAGATTCATATCATATAGTAAATCTGTTTAGTTAATAAAAGCCTTATTTCGTTTCTATATTTATTAAGAGTCCCAACTGTATGAATGGTAAGAATCTTATAGCATTATTATATACATATATAAAATCGTGCACTTAATTACAGGTATCATTAATAACCCTAACTATATAAGGAATTGTGCATCTTCTAAATAATACACACCAGGACCAAACGACCTTCTATTATATATACACGCACATACCATAAACTTAAAAAGAACTCGAGCATCTTAGTGTTTGAAGGCAGAGGTTGAACAGGTATGTCATTAACCTTTTATAGTTCAATCATGTTTCACCATTAAATCAATGACCTTCATTCTGTTAAAAATCCTTCGTGAACTTACATCATATTAGATGGTTGATGCAATCTCTATACTTTTGGTTGAAGGACTACCAAAAGTCCAAAATTAACAGTAAGAGGGTGGCTTGAGAGGGCACAGGGAGTGGTTTTCTAAAAATGTTAATTGTATTATTGATTATGGATTTCTCTGGTGGTAGTACTGATTGTGATATGGATCTACACCAACAAGAACAACTTCATTACAATTCTATCATGAATTGGGTAGATTAAAAGCTTACTGGGGATTCCCTATTGACTGATAAACATTAGGTTTCATCAGAATCTAAAATAAAATGTTAAGCATCACATTTACTGTGGAATAATTGTAGTATTTTTAAGGCAAAGAGAGGATTTTCAGTCAATAGTTTTTAATAGTTGAAACATTATCTAATTATCTAAATTATATCTCCAACTATAAGACGGTTGATGTAATCTCTATACTCTACCTATGTCATTTTTTGATATTCTAAAAAGATGTTTAGGTGAAGAAAACAACCCAGAAATATTTTGTTCTTCCAGCAATTCAATAGTTTGTTTTTCTTTTGTCATTTCTTTTTTCTTAATCAACAATTTTTAATTTTTATCTTCTGTCAACTTGTGAGATTAAGCTGATTGTGCAATATCTCTCATGATGTTGTTTTCTGTTTTTCAAGGTTGAAAATAAGAAAAGAATAAAAACTGCATACAAATTTATCAACTTTGGCTTATAAAATGTTGATAAACAAGTTCAGTACTTTAGTTTGTATGCTTTAGCATCATATATAATTGTAAACACTCATTTATAGTCAATTATTATTACTTTCTAGAGTTGTGTTTTCAGTTTGATTGTGCAATATCTCTCATGATGTTGTTTTATGTTTTTCCAGGTTGAAAATAAGAGAAGAATAAAAACTGCATACAAATTAATTGGATAGGCCCTTTTATCTTATGATATTAACCTGAAATTTCTCAATTTTCCTGCAAAAGTTAGTTTTTTTGGTAAAAAATACTATGTATCTTTTTAGATTTACGGCACATTTTATTTTTAGCAGTTTTAATCAAGGCCATATGTATAATTAATCGAGGCGGAATTTATTTACAGTTTTAAACAAGTTTAAAACTTCCATAATATAACATTTTCCATATTTACTTTGATTGCTTTGCTTAAATACTTACTCTGCTATATAAGGCATGATTTGCTTAGACAGTTTTAATGTAAGACAACTTTTATTTTAAGCAACTTTTAATCTCGGTAGGAATAAATTTGAATTTTATTATTTATGGCAATGTGTATAATAAAGACCAAATTTCTTTAGACAGTTTTTAATTAAAGCAATTTTTATTTCTACCCATTTTTATTCTCGGTAGTAATTGTTTCCAAAAATAAAAGATCTCGGTAGTACTTTATATATATTTTTCAGAACACAATCCTCCCCTTAAGATATGCACGAATTTAAAACCTTCCTTCATTAAAGATTTTCCTCATTTTATTTGCTAGGATTTTTGGGAAATACTCACTCTTCACTAAATTCATAGGAAACAATTATATATAGCCCCTTACCAGTGCATACCATCATATTGGTGTCAAAGAATTATACCACTTATTTAGGTCGGTTTTTCTGTTTTGTCGGTCTACTGCAGCACTTACATGTGTTAATATTTTCTTTCAATTATATTTTTTTTCATAACATTTTCGTTTTACACCATTCTATAGATCTTAAATGGCTCCAAAATTGCTTAAACTGGCTGAAGTCACTGGAATACTTGAACCCCATGACGCAATATTGGTTCGTGTTGTTCGCAAGTGGATTGTTCTTTACAAAGACACAGAGAAGGGAGTCCGTTCTCTAGAGCTTTTGCTTGAAGATGAGAAGGTATTTGACCATACTTAAAATAATTTTATATAATACGTATATTTTTTTACAGATTTTAATCTTACAATAGTATCAATATTGTAAAATATAATAATAAATAAAATTGAAAGCCGATTAATTAGAAAAATATATTCAAATTATTCATATCATATACCATATTCGCATTATTTCAATTATTTTTTTTAATTTTTATAACAAGTTAATTTAAACATGTTTTTTATAACATTTACACTTACTTTATTAATTAAAATTTACATCTTAGGTATGAACTACTACCTATATTTTATTTTTAGAAGTTTTTCAGAGTGTTTTTAGAAAGTCAAACTAAATGTGAAGCAATAAGATAACATATTTACAGTTTTAATTTAAGGCACAATCCTCCCCTTGATAAATGCATGCTTTTTAAACCTTCTTTCATATAAGATTTGCGATATTTACTTTGCTTGGTTTGCTTAAATATTAACTCTTCTAATTAAGGCATGATTTGCTTATACAGTTTGAATTTAAGGCAAATTTTATTTTAAGCAATTTTTAATCTCGGTAGGAATTAACTTCAATTTTTTTATTTATGGCAATGTGTATAATAAAGACCGAATTTATTCAGATATTTTTAATTTAAGGCAAATTTTATTTCTACCCATTTTGAATCTCGGTAGTAATTGTTGCCAAAAAAATATCTCGGCTCAGACAGTTTTCATTAAGGTATTGTTAAATAACTTCTATGTTGAAGGGATTACTATTGAGATTATTTAAGAATTAAAAAAATGTCTTAGGTATGAACTACTACCTATATTTTATTTTTAGAAAATTTTCAGATTTGTTTTACAAAGTCAAACTAAATGTCAAGCGATAAAATAACATATTTACAGTTTTAATTTAAGGCACAATCCTCCTCTTGATGTATGGATGATTTTTAAACCTTCCTTCATATAAGATTTTCCATATTTACTTTGCTTGGTTTGCTTAAATAGTTACTCTGCTAATTAAGGCATGATTTGCTTAGACACTTTTAATTTAAGACACCTTTTATTTAAAGCAGTTTTTAATCTCGGTAGAAATTTATTTTAATTTTATTATTTATGGCAATGTGTTTAATAAAGACTGAATTTATTGAGACCATTTTAATTGAAGGCAATTTTTATTTCTACCCATTTTGAATCTCGGTAGTAATTGTTGCCAAAAAAAAATATCTCGGCTTAGACAGTTTGATTTAAGGCATGATTAAATAACTTCTATGTTGAAGGGATTACTATCGAGATTAATTAAGGAGAGGATTAAAAAAATAACTTTATCATTCACTCCAATTTAAGTATTAGTTTCATTTCACTACAATAGTCAATAATTTCATACTGGAATACTTCATACTTTTATTTCATCAAGAAATTATACTGGAAAAATAGTAATTATAATTCTTTTCAAAATCATCAAACTCATGGGCAAGTGTGTTGCATTTTGTTCAGAAAGCCATATAAATGAGATTAATATGTTATCTTATTGCTTGACATTTAGTTTGACGATCTAAAAACAACCCGAAAAACTTCTAAGATAATATATAAATGATTTAAATAAATTCTACGTATTGATAATTACTATTGAGATTACTTAAAAATTAAAAAAAATGTCTTAAATAAAATCTGTCTAAATAGATTATGCCTTAATATAATATAAATGTACACAAAACTACCTTAGAGAAAAACATTGTCTAACACATATTTAATTTAAGTTGTGATCATTGTGAAATTATAAAAAAATACTTTGTTTTAAAATTCATACCTAAGATATTTTAGAAAGTGCCTTAATTAAAATTTACATCCCAGTAAGTCCAATTATAATTTCCACTTGCTTAAATAAAATTCATTTCATTACAATAGTCGATAACTTCTAATTGACTCCAATTTTTTCTCAAATAGGATGATAGGATTCAAGCTACTGTATCACAACAACTGGTGCACATCTTTGACGCCCAAATAGAAGAGGGTGAGACATATGCAATGATGCACTTTACTGTAAGGTCCAATATTGAACAATATCGGCCATGCTCCCACCGTTACAGACTATGTTTCACCGAGGAAACCAAGGTGAAGCGTCAAGAAAAGAGTACCATGTCATCCTTATCACCTTTTAAGTGTAAAAGCTTCTCAAAAATTTTTGCTGAAGGAGATGATGTCTGTCTTCAATTGTTTGGTAATCTCAAAAATAACACTCTGTTATTTTGTACTATGTATTTAGTAATTTGTGTAACTATATTATGTGTGATAATAATCGTAATCTCGAGACAAATTCTAGATGTAATTGGTGCATTCAAGGTTGGTGATAAGGTGTTCCAGGCGGAACCTGGAGCGCAAAAAAAGTGGTGTAACTTTTACCTTCATGATTTAGAGTTAAGTGATACAATCATTTCAAATTTTGTTATACTATATAATGTTCTCATACACTAACATTAAAATAATTTACATATTCTAATTTTACCATGCATAGGGATAAGAGGTTGCATTGTACACTGTACAGTGAGTATTCCGAACAATTCCTGGAACATGTAAAAAGGACAACGTCGGAATATGTAATCGTGATCATCCAGTTGGCACGCACCAACAAACGCTATGGTAGGACAAATATACATACACTTGCATTTACGAATTTATCGCAAAGAATTATTACTTTAATTAATACTTTACTTATATTTCTTTACGAAAACTGAATTCAGGTGAGCAGATGGGGGTCTCAACATCATATAATGCCTCAAAGGTTCTCCTTGACGTCAATGTCCCTGATATTGAGGAGTTTCGAACCAGGTAATATTGATAACGATCTTCATGGCAACCTTCAAAAAGCTTTTTTAATGTGAATCTTTCTTAACCCTCACATGGCAATCTAAAACCATGCTTTACCTTTGTTTTCAACCTTGGTAATTTGGTGATGGAGTTTTAAACTTAGTATTGTCATCAACTCATCAATGGTGAATAAATGATGCAACCACTTCAAATCATACAAATAACACATGATTACTAAAGTAAAAGACTCTTCATTGTTGTAAGTGCATATGTTGATCCAGCCTTGCATATAGGGTGATTAGTTTCAAAATATTGTAGAGTAGATACCATGATAAGTGTGAATATTGATAATGTCCATGATAAGTGTGCAATATTTAGCAGATTTAAAAAAAACACTTTTAGCAATTATTTCAATCTATTGACATTTATTGAAATTAATAAGGATGTTGGATATGGGGTCATCACAATCCTTGAGCTCAACATCATCACGACCTGCATTAAGTGATGATAAAGAAGTTGGAATTGTCAAGATGTTGTCTGAACTACAAACTACTAGGGAGGTATATAATCATTCAATTTATTTCTGAATTTCAAATTCTCGCATTCTTATACGTATGTAAATCATTTTCATTTGTGAACAATGTACACTTGGAACAGGTTCGTGGGTTGTGGTTTTATGGGAAGATAAACGCTGTTCTAAATGCTACCAGTTGGGCTTATATGGGATGCTTCAAAAGGTCATATTTAGTGATAGCCTCCAACACAGTCATATTTAGTCACAAGTAGATTCTTAATTAATCATTACATTTATTTAGATATTTAGATATCTAAATAAAGAAATAAGATTTTGTTTGGCATGTTGTACATCTGCACTCCCCCCCCCCCCCCCACCCCTGAAATTCAAATAAGTAAATTCATACTTATTAATTAGTTGTACACCATGACAGACTGTTGCCTTTTTTTAAACAACTGAGCTATTTAGATCCTTTTTATACAATTGAAACAGAAGGCTTTGTATTACAACTTCCGTTTATTTTATAATTAGGATTTCATAATAATATATTTTTTGAAACTAAAGTTGATTTCCCCGTTCACTTTAGGTCATGTCGTGCAAGAGCCATAAAATGTGATAATGAATTTGAGTGCACGAAGTGCGGAGTGCGGTCTTCTGAAGAAAACTGGCTCTACAAGTTGAAGCTGAACGTTGTGCATGGTCGTCACAACGCTGAGCTGCTATTCTGGGATCAAGCATGCAAGCAGTTTTTGGGAAAACCTGCGTCCGATTTTCGTGAACATCTGGATGATGTATGTATATAACAAGTATTAGTTTTGTTGCTTTGATTTCCTATGTCAAAACTCCATGTGCATGAATGTATCTATAAATGCTTTAAAGTATTTGTTTCTCTTCGTTTAGGTCAAGTTAAGACCTCATAGTGCTCCTCCATTGTTCTACGACTTGGTTGGGCGGGAGTACTTATTCAAAATTGAGGATTTGAATCGCGAGTTTAGATGGATCCGATGTTGCGTTTTGCATAAGCATGACAACAGACAATAAGGAAAAGATTGAGCAGATTAAGTCATCCTGGAAAGATGAACCAGAGCCAGAGGTAATTCGTTAGTCTTAAATATCATAAAGTATTTTTTTAATAGAAGATATAAAATAAGATTCATAAGTTCAAACAAATACTCCCTCGGTATTTTTTTTAAAGTTCCATACACTTTCCATTTTGGGACGTATTTAAAAGTTCCATACACCTTCCCTTTTTAGTAAGTTTTTCCTTTAAAAATACTTAACTACCCTTACTTTTTCCACTTTTTATCCTCTCTTTCCTACTTTTTCACCATATATCCTACTTTTTCTATACTATTCATCACCCCTACTATTCTCCCTTAAATCTTGTGCCATAACCTAACATAAGGATCTTTTAATTACGGAGGGAGTATGAACTATACAATTGTGTTGAACTTACAACGGGGTGAATGCAGGCTGAATATAATTCTGATTCAGATCTTGACTTAATTCTTGAACCTCGAACTACGGTTGAATCCAACTTGGTAAGTTTGAATACTCACAACAATTGATTATGCCTACGCAAATATAAACCCAAAATCTATATAAATTATTATACAATATTTATTATGTTTTCATTCAGACACCAACATCACCTGAGCATGACCAAGGGCAGACTCCAATTTCATCCTCAAAGAGAAAAACTGAGGATATAGATGGTAGCAAAGAAATCTCAGATGATAAAACACTGGGGTCTACAAATAAGAATAAGAAGTTGAAGGAGGTCAAAAAAGAGAAACTTTGAAGTTCGCCATTTAGAAAACAGGATTTTATTTTTTGTTTGATTATTCGTATTTCTGCATTCGCATTTCCTCCTAAAGACAATTTTTAAAGTTGTGATTGTGCCGTTTGTTGGCCTTGAATAAGGGAATTCCTCCCAGTTGAAGACAAGCTTTGATTTTTTTTGCCTTTCAATTACTTCTAATATACGAGAGTAAAAAATTGTGTGCTACTTTTTTCATTATTTCTCCAATTCTAATTTGTTAAATATAATCTGTTTATTTCTTTAGAGCGCTTTTTATTCTGCAAAAATATCAGAATTTACGTTTAAATTCACTAAGGTGTAACCTAATTAATTTGCTGCTAGGTTGCTTTTATGCTATTGATATACTCATATGAATCTCAGTTTCTCCCAACTTTTATGTTGATTTATTTTTTAGGATCCTAGATTTTACTGCTTTGATAAAATCAGCTGCAAGGATTGGTAGACTTCTTAATCTTTGTAGTTTGGGCTCCATGATATTCAATTGATCAATGAACTTGATATTATACAAACTAATACCACAATAACATTCTGAGTAGATAGGCATACATTTTTATTTTGGGTATGAATTTTATTATTTAGGTAACTTTTCCCTATTTAAGACTTTAAGTACTTGAGATTTTTAGCACACAATCCTCCCCCTATACTTAAATTTAAAATATTTTAATTTTGATATAATATAAATATATTATTGTATATCCATCTATTTTAAGATCACGGTAGAATAAATTTTGACTGAATTTTTTATTTTATGTTTGAATTTTATTATTTAGGTAATTTTTTCAAACTTAAATACTTGACACAGAAGATATTATAAAAACTAAATGAAGGAAGGTTTTAAATTTGAAATAAATTTAAAATATTATAATTTCAATATAATATGTATATATATATATATGTGTGTGTGTGTGTGTGTGTGTGTATATATATATATATATATATATACGTGTGTGTGTGTGTATATATATATGTGTGTGTGTGTGTGTATATATATATATATATATATATATATAACTATTTAGGTAATTTTTACCTACTTAAGTACTTGATATTTGTCAGCACACAATCCTCCCACTAATATATGGACGAATCTAAAACCTTCCCTCATGGTTGAGAGGATTTGGCTCACATGTTAAGAAATAAAGTTTCAAATATTGTATATTATTGTATATTATTATCACATATCCTCTCCTTATTTTTCAGTTTTCATCTCCTTATTTATCTCCTACCTTTTCTATTATTATTTATGGTTGAGAGGATTTGTAGGAGTACCATAATTAACAAATTCACCACACTCTTAACGGATGGCCGGATGCTAACTACCATATTTGTGTCTATTTTTATATTAGACTGAAAATATTTGTTTTAAGATTAGGGTAGAAAATATTTTGGCTGATTTTTTGAACAATTATGACTTATTATTTAGGTAATTTTCCCCAAATTAAATACTTGATACCTAAGATATCATAAAAACTAAATGAAGGAAAGTTTTAAATTCGATATAAATTTAAAATACTATAATTTCGATATAATATGTCTACATATATTATTTTAAATTTAACAACGATAATACAAGGAGATGCTATAATATAGAAATACATGTGTACCAACCATTTTTACTATAAAAAGATAGAAATAAAAATTGGCTTGGTTAATTAACCTAAGCCCATTTCAGACCATTTTCTCCGCCCTACCTACAGTGTGTATTTAAAATATTCTCCCCCTATCCTTAAATTTGAAAAATTCTAATTTCGATATAATATGAATATATTATTGTATATCCATCTATTTTAAGATGAGGGTAGAATATATTTTGACTGAATTTTTTATTTTAGGTATGAATTTTATTATTTAGGTAATTTTTCAAAACTTAAATACTTCATTCCGAATATATTATAAAAACTAAATGAAGTAAGTTTGAAAATTTGAAATAAATTTAAAATATTGTAATTTCGATATAATATGTATATTTATATATATGTATTTTTAAATTTAATATGTATATGCACTATTTTAATTTCGTTACTAATTGCTGCCAAAAAAATAATCACGACAGTAATTAATTTGATTGAGTTTTTTAGTTTGGGTATGAATTTTACTATTTAGGTAATTTTTCCCTACTTAATTATGTACTTCATATTTTTCAGCACACAATCCTCCCACTAATATATGGATGAATCAAAAACCTTCCTTCATGGTTGAGAGGATTTGCCTCACATGTTAGTAAATAAAGCTCCAAATATTTTATATTATTATCACATATCATCTCCTTATTAAACAGTTTTCCTCTCCTTATTTATCTCCTACCTTTTCTATTATTATTTATGGTTGAGAGGATTTGTAGGAGTACCATAATGAACTTATTCACCACACTCTTAAACGGATGCTAACGGTAGTTAGCACGTATATTTGTGTCTATTTTTATATCGGACTGAAAAACATATATTAAATGTACAGTAAATATAAATTTAAATTTATAACATGCTAATTTCGATATAACATGTATATATTATTGTATATCCATCTGTTTTAAGATTAAGATAGAAAATATATTGGCTGAGTTTTTTATTTTAGGTATGAATTTTTCTATTTAGGTAATTTTCCCCAACTTAAATACTTGATACCTAAAATAATATATTTTTGATATAATATGTCTACATATATTATTTTAAATTTCACAACGATAATACAAGTAGATGCTGTAATATAGAAATACGTGTGTACCAGCCATTGTTACTATAAAAAGATAGAAATAAAAATTGGTTTGGTTAATTAACCTAAGCCCATTTATGATCAACATAAAAAAACCTAAGCCCATTTCAAACCATTTTCTCCGCCCTACCTACTATGTCTATTTAAGAGTTTGGAATGGTTACACAAAACTCACTTTTATAATGAACTTGCAGCTCACTACTACTATTCGTAATGAAGTTGCACCCGTTCTGTCCATGTCGACGAACACAATTTTTGCATTAAAGCTGTCAACGTGAGGATCATTTTTTGTTAGGAGCTGCATCTCCGCCTCCTAAAAAAGCAGGTGTCCATAAAACTATACCTCATTCTCTCTACTATTTGTTGCTATCTCTTTGCACTATTACCTACTTCATACAGAGTACTTTTTTTATGTTGTTGGAATACTCGAGTATACATACACCTATTTGATAATTATATCTTTGCTTTTATGTATATACGATTTGTACTAATGTTTTATTTTCACAAACTTAAATACTTCATACAAAAGATATTATAAAAACTAAATGAAGGAAGGATTAAATAAAAAAATATTATAAATTTGATATAATATGGATATATATATATATTATTTTAATTTTAGTATGTATATGTACAATTTTACTGTCAGTAATTAATTTGATTGAGATTTTTTTTGTATGAATTTTACTATTTAGGTAATTTTTCCCTACTTAAGTAATTAAGTAATTGATATTTTTCAGCACACAATCCTCCCACTAATATATGGACGAATAAAAAACCTTCCTTCATGGTTGAGAGGATTTGACTGACATGTTAGTAAATAAAGCCCCAAATATTGTATATTATTATCACATATCCTCTCCTTATTTTTCACTTTTCCTCTCCTCATTTATCTCCTGCCTTTTCTATTATTATTATTATTATTATTATTATTATTTATGGTTGAGAGGATTTGTAGGAGTACCATAAATAACGTATTCACCACACTCCATGCTAACTAACATATTTGTGTCTATTTTTATATTAGACTGAGAAACATATATTAGACTGAGGATTTAAATTTATAACATGCTAATTTCGATATAAAATGTATACATTATTGTATATACATCTGTTTTAAGATTAGGGTAGAAAATATTTTGACTGAGTTTTTTATTTTAGGTATGAATTTTATTATTTAGGTAATTTTCCCAAACTTATTTTACCGAAAATTTCGTGCCAAATAGGTCTTGCCAAACTGTTTTTTGCACGGATTTGGCATCTCCGTGCCCAAATCCCTGTCAATTTTGAAAAAATCTGCCACAAAACCCTGCCAATCACAAGTTCATTTACGAACTACTACCTATATTTTATTTTTAGAAGTTTTTTATCCGTTCAGTAATAATTTTGACATATTTTTTATTCAAGGGAATGTGTATAATTTATTAAGGCAAAAGTGGTTTACAGTTTTAATATAAGGCAAATTTTGTTTTTTAGCAGTTTTTAATCGAAGTAATAATTGTGGCCAAACAAATTCATTTGTTATTCGTATATTGAGATACGTGGTTATGACTCACATGTTAGACTGTTAATAAAGTAAATCACAAAATATTGTATATTATTGTATATTAATATCAGATATCCTCTCATTGTTTATCACATACTCTCTCCTTATTTATCTCCTAATTCTTCTATTATTATTTATGAATAAGAGGATTTGTAGGAGTAGGAGTTACTATTATTACAGAAACATCATTTGAAATGTATACGACTTTACAGCTTTATGGAGAAAGAGAAGATTTTCTGAAATGAGAAAAAAAATTATGTAGTATCTATATTAAATCATTTTTTTATTCTCTTCTATTTAAATTAATATGTGTGTTATTCACGTAGTACTTCACATATTAATACATTTAACATTGATATATATATATAATAAAATGTTATGAATTTGGCTAAGTATAATTTGAGGGAGGAGGTAGTATAATAAAATGCTGAAAATTAGATACAGTAGCAAATGTTTAAGTTTACACATATAATACATTTATATAAACTTGACATATAGTAGTATATTCAAAATATTTAGTCAAATTTTAAAATTTATATCATGGTTTTGATGAATATAAAATTATGAAAGTAGTAAATTTTAGATTTTTATGAAAGTTATGAAAGTTATTCATATCACTTTTAAAATTACGAGGAGAGACAAATGCATCGAGGACAGGTCAACTCATTGTTCTACCGAATTCATTTACTGGGAGTGCACGTTACATGCTGCAAAACTATCAAGATGCTATGGCTATATGCAGATGGGCTGGATACCCACAATTATTTATTACATTCACGTGTAACCCAAAGTGGCCAGAAATTCTCCGTTTTGTGGAACCAAGAGGACTGAGTCCTGATGATAGACCTGATATACTTTCTAGGATATTTAAAATGAAACTCGATCTACTCATCAAGGATTTGAAACAAAATAAGATGTTTGGCCACGTGCGGGCAGGTAATTTTTGTTTTTCACAATTTTTCATGTTGGAAATCCTTTTTTTGTTTCATCATATAGTTTTCTTGCCACATGCAAATATAACACTATTTAATTTTAGAATTTCTTTAATATTTGCAGTTGTGTACACCGTAGAGTTTCAAAAGCGTGGATTGCCGCATGCGCATATCGTTGTATGGATTTCACAAAGGCAGAGGAATGTATTTTCCTCAGATATAGACAAAATAATATCTGCAGAGATACCTGATGAAAATTTTGATCCCGCTTACTATAATGCAGTCAAAGAATTGATGATTCATGGGCCATGTGGACTGATGAACATGTCTTCACCATGTATGGATAAAGGGCATTGCACGAAGCATTTTCCTAAAAAAAATTCCCAACGGACGACCATTGATAAGAGTGGTTACCCAAAATACAGGAGGAGAAACAATGGAAGGTCTGTTGAGAAAAATGGCCATCATATGGACAATAGATATGTTATCCCACATAATCGTACTTTGCTTCTCAAGTATGGAGCACACATCAATGTGGAGTGGTGTAATCAATCACGATCAGTCAAGTATCTCTTCAAGTATATAAATAAAGGCGATGATCGGATAACTGTTGCATTTTCAGAAGCTACTGACAGCACCAAACCACAAAATATCGATGAGATCAAGATGTACTATGACTGTCGGTACATCTCCGCTTGTGAAGCTGCATGGAGAATTTTTTCATACCATATCCATTACAGGGATGTTCCGGTTGAGCGGTTAAGCTTTCATCTACCAGGAGAGCAAAATGTATACTACAAACCTGACGCATCCATTGAGTCGGTACTCAGTAACACCACTCTTCACTCTACGAAGTTTATAGCTTGGATGAGAGCAAATCAAGTTTATCAAGAGGCAAGGGAGTTGACATACGTTGACTTTCCATCTAAGTTCACATGGAACAAAAAGAAAAGGGAGTGGTCACCACGGAAAAAGGGGTTTGCGGTTGGGCATGTGTTCTTTGTGCGTCCCGGAGTAGGTGAGAAGTACTACTTAAGAGTTCTGTTGAATGTAGTAAAAGGGCCACGAAGTTATGAAGATTTGCGAACCGTGGATGGAAAGATATATGACACATTTAGGGATGCCTGTTATGCTCGCGGGTTACAGGGAGATGATAAGGAGTACATAGATGGCATTAAAGAGTCAAGTCATTCAGCAGTGGCACGATGGCTGCGTCATCTATTTGTTACTCTTTTACTGCAGGGATCAATGACTAAGCCTGAATCGGTGTGGGAAAAGTGTTGGGAGTATTTGTCAGAAGACATATTATACAATGTGAGGAAAAACCTTCATGATCAAGGTACGCATTTATATTAGTCATAACTATTTAATGTTCTTCCATGGTAAAAAAATATTTCTAATTCATATTCTTTGACTCATACCTTACATTGAATACATGTGTCATCTCTTCTGAAGAGTTGGAGCTAGACAACGGAGAAATTCAGAAGTACTGTTTAGTGGAGATTGAGAAGCTTCTCCAACAAAGAGGAAAATCACTGTGTGACTACGTCGGAATGCCAGTGCCCCCCGATTCTTACATCCCCTCCATGGAGGACATTCTCATTCATGAAGAATTGAAGTACGATAAGTGTGTGATGGCTGAAGAACATAAAAAGCTGTTGAAGGATATGACAGATGAACAAAGAGTTGTTTACGAAATAATCATGGAATCTATCGACCGCAAATGTGGCGGTGTTTTTTTCTTATATGGACATGGCGGCACGGGAAAGACATATTTGTGGAGGACTTTGTCTACGGCAATTAGATCACGAGGAGAAATAGTATTGAACGTGGCATCCAGCGGTATTGCATCACTCCTTCTTCCCGGAGGAAGGACCGCACACTCGAGGTTTGCGATTCCACTTAATGTGACGGAGGACTCAACGTGCAACATAAAACACGGTAGTCCCTTGGCTAAGCTTCTTGAACAAACAACGCTAATTATTTGGGATGAGTCTCCAATGACGCATAAGCACTGTTTTGAAGCTCTAGAACGCACTATGAGAGATGTCCTTCGCTTCTCGCCGGAATGTGATGTTGTTGTCCCTTTCGGTGGAAAAACTATTGTATTTGGTGGGGACTTCCGACAGATATTGCCGGTCATTCCAAAAGGCACGAGGCAAGATATTGTCCAAGCGTCTTTAAATTCATCGTATTTGTGGTCATATTGTAGGGTGTTGAAATTGACAAGGAACATGAGGCTTGCACACATGAGCGGATCATCCAGCGCAACTGACATAGAGCGCTTTGCAGATTGGATTTTGAAGATAGGCGATGGTATTTTGGGAGACAATGAGGATGGGGAATCAAAAGTCCACATACCTGCTGAATTTCTTGCTCCGTTGACAGATGATCCCATTGAGTCTATTGTTAACAGTACGTATCCAGATTTCTTGACTCATAGGGAAGACATTTCATATCTGAACTCTAGGGCCATTCTTGCACCTACGATTGATGAGCGAGACAAGATCAATGATTACATGTTGGGGCTAATTCCAGGCGAGGAAAGGACATACTTAAGCTGTGATTCAGCATCTTCCTCTGACTCAGATAGCGAGCTCCTTCAAGACATTCATTCTCCAGAATTTCTTAATAGCATCAAATGTTCTGGTGTGCCAAGTCATGAACTGAAGCTTAAGGTGGGTGTGTCTGTGATGCTTATGAGAAACATAGATCACACTGTTGGGTTATGCAATGGCACGAGACTCATGGTAACTAAACTCGGGACTCATATTATTGAGACTCAGATGATGTCAGGATCAAATGCTGGTGACAAATATCTTATTCCCAGACTTAGTTTAACTCCTACAGACTTGAAGCTCCCCTTCACGTTTCAGCGCAGACAATTTCCTCTTATGGTTAGTTATGCGATGACGATTAATAAGAGTCAAGGACAATCGTTAGAAAGAGTTGGTGTATTCTTGCGACGTCCAGTTTTTACTCATGGACAGTTATATGTTGCGGTATCGAGAGTTACAAGTCCATCTGGGTTAAAATTTGTCATATGTGACGATGATGGTCAACCAAGCAATACTGCTCTAAATGTTGTTTATAAAGAAGTGTATAATAATTTATAGGTTTTTTCATATGTCATTTGTTATATGTTAAATTCTATCCTTCAAATGTTTAAATTATAGTTCTATTATCATTCAAATTCTTACATTCTCGATGAAATGTTTTCCCGTGCAACGCACGGGTTCAAAACTAGTTGGTTCAAAATTAGTAATATCCAAGTAAAAACTCATGTTTTCTATCATGTCAATTATTTTGAAAGTAGTCTTTTGTATTAGAGAAAGAGCTTAATTGGACTAAATCTGAAATAAAAGGGTTGAATTAGAAGATCACTCATCCAAGCGTTTCCAAATGATCCTCTCCCTAGTATCGAGGGAGGAGGAAGTGCGTTGGCGGTGAGTCCAATCCGGCAAATAAAAAAGGAGCGAGCAGTGAAGACGTTGGGTTAATGTCTTCCATCAAATGCTCAACTTTTAAGTTTCTCCGAATGAAAATAAAGGATTTTGAATGATAATTAACAAAATGATTATTTTATTTAAGTTAAATTTGAACTGAATATCAACACAACTAGTTGAATTCACCATTTCTTAAAAGTAATTTATATTATAATTTTATCTAAACTTTTTTCTTCTCAAATTTACTAGTCTCAAATACTCGTAAGAAGAAAGATTTTCTCACCTTCCTCTCATTTTTCCCTCCAACAACTTACCTTCAAGTGTCTCATTTTGATAGTCTCATTTTGATAGTCTCATTTCTTTTGGGCACAAGTTTTATTAAAGTGGTTGAAAAGGTAAAAGTTGTGATTGAGATTTGAATATAATAAAGTGAAATGATATGGACCACATCTTTCTTTCCAAAAAGGTAAACATGACCATCATTTTGGGACATCCCAAAAAGGAAATACAGGACCATCATTTTGGGACGGATGGAGTACTTTACTATTTTTCCTATGTATTTTCTAGCCTATCTGCCCAACCAGGGATGGATCCAGGATTTTGAGTCAAGGGGGGCGAAAATTTTCGTTAGTGTAGGAGATAAAAATTCACTAGTGTAGCGGGGCGAAATTTTTCGCTAGTGTAGCTGGGCGAAATTTTTCACTAGTGTAAGGCTCTGCGGCTATTTTAATTAAAAAAATTCATTGATACACGCATGACGATATTTAAATCAATATACTACATTCTAATTTTAGCAAATCAAAAGAAAATGATATAAAAATAAAAAAAGGATAAATAACATTTTATTTAAATATAAAGAGTTTATAAGGTACACATTCACGGATTCACATTCACCAATAGTTTTAAAATAACTTCAACATGGTTTAACTACATGAGTCTTATCGAAATAAAGAATTGATTTTTGAATTACAATTTTTGTCTACCATGGAGGGTGTATGATATATATATATGTGTGTGTGTGTGTGTGTGTGTGTGTGTGTGTGTGTGTATATATATATATATGATGGAGTATATGGGTCTAGGCCCCAGGACCTACATACTCAGAACAGAAAGCACAGCCGCTACGCGGTGCCCTCGTCGGCCAAAGCCCCTCGTCGGCCAGAAGAAGAACCAACTCAGAATATGATCCTAAAGCCAAGGAACCAGGGTGTCCTCGTCGGTCGTGCCCTCATCGGTCGTGCCCTCGTCGGCCAAGACCCTCGTCGGCCACAGAAGTCTCACAGAACCGGATTTTACACTTATTCATTTGTACAGCCCACCAGTGGCTTTGTATTCGGCCCAATAGCGGTCCAGTTGTAAATGGGCCTCCCAAGCCCAAGACTTGGGAGCCCAGCCCGTATTTTCCCTATAAATACTTCCTCTCGAGGTAGTTATCAAGGTTACAAATTGATTCTATTGAAGCATTTCTTACACTTCTCTCTCTAGCTCTCACTTCTCTCTAGATATATACTCTATCATTTGGTGCTCTCGTTGAGAGCTAGAACAATCAAGTTAGCACCCTTCGTCGCTACCAAGCACAACTAACCACTGATCATGGGAAGAACTAAGTCAAACCGCAACCTCGTCAGCAAGGCCATCCTTGAGGATCAGGAGACCGGGGAGCATGAGGAGGAAGCTACGGCCGACTAGGTCGGCGGAGGGGATGTCTTCCAGGAGGCCATCAACCTCACGACGGAACTCCGCAACCAACTCAACGGCGGAGCCCCTGATGCCCGCATCGGCCTAGACAAGAAACGGGCTGAGAAGTCAGACCACGCCCTGGCCCAGCCTATGGCCGCGGCTTCTCCGTCTGTGGATCCACAGGTCCAGGCCGCGCTGTCGGTCATCATCGCCAGCTTGGCCTAGAACCCCACCGTCCTCAGCGCACTCTTGCCAAGGACTGGGGGGGAACGTCACTCCACCTCCTCAGCCCCAACCATTGGCCGTCAGAATAGGCAACGATGAGGGGGTGATGGCTCAGGACACGGCGTCGTCCCACTCCCACCCCGCTTCCCCTCTTCGGCCTGGGCAGACCCCAGCGCGTGGAAAAGCCTCTACCTTCAATAGGCTAGGTGACACGCGCAGTCGTCCGGTTTCGGAGAGGATGGCAGTGCGGATTGGTGAGCGTCGTCCTGGCTCGCCAAGGGAAAGCTTGGGGTCTATGTCCCGGACAAGGGCAAGGGAAAATTGCACGAAGACGACGTGCGCCACCAGATCAATGCAACCCACGACGAGCGCATGAAGAACCAGCGGGGCGCCGCTGCGGCCGCCAGGGACCCCCAGGACGAGGTCATCGCCCAGCTAAAAAGGAGGCTGGCCCAGATGGAGGCCAGGCAATCGGCGAACATCCCCACGGCCGGCGCCTCTAACGACCCTGGCCTCAACGCCCTCATGAACAAAGTCAGCGCCCTTGAGAGGGAGTTGGCCGAAGGGCGAGGTGACCCCGTCATCCAGGTCAGGACCAGGACCCCTTTCACCAACATGGTGCTCTCGGCCCCCATCCCAGAGAAGTACAAGGGAAACGCCATCAAGTCCTACGATGGCCGATCAGACCCCCAGGAGCACTTCAGCCGCTATCAGAACAACATGCTGATGGTGAACGCGTCGGATGAATATCTCTGTCGTTGGTTCCTCTCTACTCTCGAGGGGCCGGCGTATGAGTGGTTCAACGCGCTCCCCGAAGGAAGTATTGTATCATGGCAAGACCTTGCCCAGCGCTTCCTCACCCATTTTGCCGGGAGGAAGCGTGCGAAGAAGTATTTCACCCATCTCCTCTCCATCAAGCAGCAACATGACGAACCCCTCTGGTCATTCATTGATCGGTGGACGAGGGAGACTGAAGAAGTTGAGGGGGCCGATGAGCGCACCCTCCTCGTCCTGTACCAAGGAGCCCTCCGCAGCTCCCCGTACGCCAGGAGCCTCATCACCGACCCTCCAAGGTCGTACGCAAAGGCGCTCCTGCGCGGGAGCTTGTACGCTGACGCCGACGAGCTCCACAACCACAAGAAAGAGGGAGGCCATTCCTCCAAGAAGACAGATCCTTCGCCGGCCCCGGGACCCTCCCCGGCCGGCCAGGGTGCCCAGGGCCGTCACGGCTCTGGTGGACAAAGCAAGAAAGACCGCCACTGGCGGCCGAGGTTGGAACGGCCGGGGGTCCCCCTCACCCACCCGGTCAGCACCATCCTCGACTACGCCGAGAAGCATGGCCTCATTAAACAGGCTCCTCGGCCGGCCGAGGAGGTCCTCGCCATCCAGCAGGGCAGCACATACTGCCGATTTCATAAGAACTCCTCGCACAACACCGACGATTGCATCACCCTAAAGAAAGCCATCGAGCGCCTTATTCGTCACGGGGAACTCTCCCAATTTGTTAAAGGTGGCCCACGCAAAAACACGTGGGTAAACACCGGCAAACCTGGGGGAGAACCCTCTACGAAGAAGCGGGAGATCGGCAAGCTCAGCGATAACGAGGACTTTGAAGAGCCTCCGCCAAAGAAGAACCACATTCACCTCATTGTAGGTGGGAACACCGGGGGGGACTCCGTCACCCAGAGGAAGAAATGGGCCCAATCCCTTTACATTGGGGAGGTGTCCCACGTTCCTCCCAGCCGAAGAAACAGCGAACGGAGGCGATCACCTTCACCGACAAGGATCTGCCTCCGGGTACGGAATCACATAGGGACGCCCTCGTCATCCGGTGTGAGATCGGTGACTCCATCATCCACCGCACTTACATCGATACGGGGAGTTCCGTCAATGTGATGTACCTGGACACCTTCAAGCAGCTGAAGCTGGATAAAGCTCTGCTGAAGCCGATCAAGACACCATTGTCCGGCTTCACCGGGGACTCTATCGACGCCGAGGGCACGATAGTCCTCCCCGTGGAGGTCGGCGACGGCCCCCACCGCGCCTAAATTAACATGGAGTTCATGGTGGTCAACCTCCAGTGCGCCCACAACCTGATCTTGGGGCGGCCAGCACTGGAGGACTTGGAGGCCATCATCTCCATGAAGCACTTGTGTCTGAAGTTCCCCACCAATGGCGGCATCGGCTACGCCAGAGGAAACCAGAGGATAGCCAGAGCATGCTACCTCAAGCTAACGAGGCCGACCGAAAGGGAAGGACAGAGGACAGACACCATCACGACAGCCGTTGCCAAGGACGAGGAGAGGCCGCATGCCCAACCGGCCGAGGAGGTCGAGGAAGTCCCTCTGGATACCTCCCGGTCGGAGCGGGTTCTCAGAATCGGGAAGCAACTCCCACAGGACCAGCGGGACGCCATCCTCCTCGTCCTACGGTCATACACCGTTATCTTCGCGTGGGGCCCGGACGACATGCCAGGCATCAGCCGGCAGGTGATCACTCATCGGCTGACCGTCGATCCAGCCTCCGCGCCTGTCAAGCAGAAGCGGCGCTACTTATCCGCCGACAGGCGGGACTTCGTCAAAGGGGAGGTCGCCATGCTCCTCTCAATCAACCACATGAAAGAGGTGAAGTACCCGACGTGGCTAGCCAACGTCATCCTCGCCCAAAAATCGCCAACATTCAGGATGTGTGTTGATTACACTGACCTGAACAAGGCGTGCCCCATGGACCCGTTCCCTCTCCCCAACATTGATCAGTTGGTGGACGAGATGGC